CCCATCCTCAGCTCCTTCCCGCAGGATTCCGTGGTGGGATCTGCTGGAGCTCCCGTCCTCGCCGCCTCTGGGGCCTCCGGGGCTTTTGGGGGATTTGGCTCTGGGGGTTATGGGGGATTTGGCTCTGGGGGCTATGGAGGATTCGGCTCTGGGGGCTATGGGGGTCTGTGGGGCTATGGAGGCTCCTCGCTGGGCTTTGGGGGTCTGGGGTCCTGTGGGGGCTCCTCCCTGGGTTACCGGGGTCTGTATGGCTTTGGGAGATCCTTTGGCTCCTGCGGCTCTCGGTCCTCCCGCTTCGGCCGCTACCGCCGTGGCAGCTGCGGCTCCTGCTAAACCCGAAGGAAGAATCCCAAGAGAGGTCTCGCCAACAGATGAAATGTGATGGTTTCACAGCCAAAGAGCTTGGAACTACTGCTGCTCCATCTCAACACCACGGAGATTTGTAGCTGTTCAGCCTCTTTTGGATTTCTGCTCTTTCAGCTTCTGCCTTAATGCTTCTCCCGCCCCATTTCTATGTTGTCTGGGGTAAATATGGAACAAAAGGGCTCAAAGTGGGTCCTGTTTGTTCACATCAACATCTGGGATTTGGAAGAGAACCCCGGATCAGCCACATGTGAATGTGCCTGTGGCTGGAGAAGAGCTTCCTGCTTCTTGGAGACTCTGCAAATGCATTGCTTTGCTTGCTTTCAATAAACCTTTATTGAATCAAAGGTGCCATGTTCTGGTGGTCTTTTTTCCTGTTCTCACCATTGCTATTTGCCTTTGGAGAAGCCTCACCTGTGCAGGTGTCAGTAATAACCTAAAATATCCTGGAATCATGGAATGTTTGGTGTAAGAGCCGAAAAGAGGAATGGGGGGACTCCAGGCAGATCTCCAAAATGCAGTTTATTCCATCCAACACATTTCAGCAGTCCAGGGTTGTGGATGACAGAGCCTGTGCCTACAGCTGTCAGCTCCAGCTGCAGGCAGGCCTGGAGACCCTTAGTTTTGGTTACAATGCATTATATATTTTGTAATGAATTCGTTTTGGCTACATTGCATTATATATTTTTCTTTGCTGAGCATCTTAATACAGTAGAACCAATCTATGCCTTAACTTTTATCTACAGCCTATCATAGCTGCTATAATTACCATATTATTGTTACTGTTCTCCAATCACTAAAAGTTAGTACATCACAGTTTAAGCTAGAAGTTGTTTTTCAGTTTTCTTGCAGTGGAAAATTCTGAGACCTTTTTTCTACTTACAACATCTGCTGACTTGTTTGTCTCTGCTATCTTTCTGCTTGGTAAAAACCTCTTGTTTGGAGTGGCTTTATCCTTTGTTCTAAGTCATAAAATCCCCTTCTAACTCACACACCCTTTGCCTTCTTGGTTATCCAGTAAGACTGGCTCAGCAATTCTTTTTTCTATATCAAAACTTGCTTCCATCTCCATTCCTTCTTCAGATTCTACATTTAAAAATCTTTCTGCTCAGCACACATATCTGTGAGACGCTCTTGTCAAATTTTCACCCTTCCCCAACAGTTTGGGTTGGGAGGGATCTTAAAGCTCATCTCATTCCACACCCTGCCACAGGCAGGGACACCTCCCACTGGCCCAGGTGGCTCAGAGTTCATCCAACCTGTCCCTAAACCATGGAGATAAATGTCCTGCCCAAAAAAACAGGGAAAATTAAATTTCCGTATGAATTTCTTCCAGGTAAAGCTTTCATCTCTTTGAGCTACATGTTCTGACTCAAATATTTCCTCAAATACTTAAATTCTGTCCTCAGGAACAACCTCGGCAAAAAGTTAAATCAATTTCCTGACAAATCTTTAAAAAAAGTTTTCTGGGCCACAGAGTGGAGCTTTGAAATCTGAAATTTTTCTGAATAATCATGAAATGTAAGGTGTTGGATGACTTTTGACAGAAAAACAGCTCCTTCAAGGATTCATTCACACCTCCAAGAAAAGTTGGAGCAGAGAGAACATAGAAAAATGGTACCTGGAAAAATTAAAACATAGAAAATGCCTTAACCTGTGAGCAAATCCACCCTTCTTCTTGCTTGGGTGAGATTCCACCTTCCAGGATCTACAGGGAAGCTGGAGAGGGACTTCTCATTGGGAACTGGAGTAACAGGACAAGGGAGAATGGATCCAAACTGACAGAGGGCAAATTTGGGGTGGATATTGGGAAGAAATCTTTCCCTGTGAGGGTGGATAGGCCCTGGCACAGGTTTTCCTGGGAATCTCTGCTTGCCCCATCCCTGGAAGTGTCCAATGCCAGGCTGGAGCAACCTGGTCTAGCAGGAGGTGTCCCTGCCCATGGTGGGGGGTGGAAGGAGAAGATCTTTGAGGTCCTTTCAATCCAACCCATTCCATCAGTCCATGACTCTGTAATGTCATCATTCCTGCTCCCAAAATCTGGATCAAGGAACAGTGACTGACTTCACTCCCAGCTAAGACATTCCCGGTGGTTTTGAAGTCTTAACCTCAGCCTATTGTAAGGATCTGTATTTCCCCACACCCGGTACAGAGAGAAGTGTGGCAAACCCACAGCCAGAGAAATTGAAACTAAAAATTCTTTTGGTTTTTTTTTGCAGAACAGAATCACTTTAATGAGAAAAAAGCGTTCACAGAGAAACATTGCAGAGTATGAAGAACATCAGATCACAGAGAACTCCTTCCGGGGTTGCTCTTCTCCAGTTGGACAGTGAAGTTGCATTTTAGAAGAAGATAAACTATTTTTTCATCCCACATATTACACACACACAGTCAAGAAAAAAGCCCAGAAGAAAACAAGTAGAAGGTGAACGAATCAAGGAGGAGTTGTGTGCTTCCAGCTCCACTTGGGTGGGGTGGCCATGGTCACAACACCTCCTCTGGGGCCAGGATTGTATCTCTCCGTTTTTGGCGATTCCTTACTCCGGGATGTTTCCGCAGGGTTTAGCAGGAGCCCCAGTAGCCACGGCCATAGCGGCCATACCAGGAGGAGTAGGGGCTGCAATAGCCAGAGCCAAAGAGTCTGCCAGAGCCATACAGACCCCGGTAGCCCCCACAGGACCCCAGACCCCCATAGCCCCACAGACCCCCATAGCCCAGGGATCCATAACCCCCATATCCATACAGACCCCCATAGCCCAGGGA